ACTCCTTCTCTCTCACTCCTTCTCTCTCACTCCTTCTCTCTCACTCCTTCTCTCTCACTCCTTGTCGCTCCCTGACTGTTACACATGGTGAGCTGTAGTTACTGTAGTAGAGCCTCATGGCTTCAGCACTGCCTTCTGTCTCTCACTTGGAAAACTAACTGAAGGTGAACATATTACATATTACTTTTGGTAACCAAGAGTAAACTTATCGAAATGTAACTCATTTTTTTAAATGTCAACTAATGGAATAGGGATGGTTTATCCTGCATTACAGTCTCAGCAAGGTGACCCAAATGATCATTACCTTCTTTCTTCCAGTGTTATAACATTTTCTCCTTACACTATTTTGGGGAAATAGAGACATTGCCTAATAATACAAATATGGTGTCTAACCTAAGCTAACAAATGACATGACAAGTTCCTCTCAAAACCACATGAAACTGGGTTTAGTAGTACTATATGGAAATGTTAATGAGTTAAATTGTATTAGCTTAAATGAAATGGTTAGTTTAAACCACTGTGAATATGTGTCTGTTGTTTTCCATTATAAGAAAGGAGGCAAAAGCTTCAGTTAGTTCAAAGCAAAGCCACTCCTTTTTTATCTCTGTATTGTAACGTTGGGGTGTGTGGGGGGGCAGATTCTCGTCATCTCCTTACTGGGGTCCTCTTCTCTCTGTACACAAACTCTCTAGCTCTCTCATTCACTCTCATGGCTTCTCCTACCAGCTACGCAGACGACACACAACTGATTGTGTCTATTCCTCGGTCTGGAACCCAGGTGGTCGCACCCATCTCTGCTTGTCTGCCTGAAATCTCAGTGGATGTTTGCTCACCACCTGAAGCTCAACCTAAACAAGACTGAACTGCTCTTCATCCCAGATAAGGACTCTCCCATCCATGACCTGTCCATCAACATTGGTACCTCCGTTGACCCTGGACGACCAGCTGAACGTCACTGCTAACATTGCTGCTACATCCCGATCCTGCAGATAAAACCTCTACAACATCAGAAGGATACGTCCCCTACTGTCCCCTCCTGTCCCCTCCTGTCCCCTCCTGTCCCCTACTGTCCCAGGAGGCAACGCAGGTCCTGGTCCAGGATCCGGTCATCTCGCACCTGGACTACTCAACTCCCTCCTGGTCTACCTGCAAACGCCATCAGACCGTTACAGCTGATTCAGAATGCTGCAGCCAGACTGGTCTTCAACCCCCCACCCCCCAGTTCTCCCACACTACACCTCTCCTCCGCTCCCTCCACTGGCTGCCAGTGGATGCAAGAATCCGCTTCAAGACACTGGTACTGGCCCACCGAGCTGTGAAGGGAACAGTCCCTCCATACATCCAGGCCTTGGTTAAACCATACACTCCAGCACGTGCACTACGCTTGGCGTCAGCCAATCGGCTGCTACTACATCTCTGTGAGTGGAACAGGTACCCCTCAAAAACACGCCTGTTTTCTATCCTGGCTCCTAAATGATGGAAGAGCTCCCCATTGATATCAGAGCAGCAGAAACTCTGCATATCAAAGCAAAATGAAAACCCATCTATTTCGACTGTACCTTGGCAATTAAATGATTGCTGGAAAATACATTTAAAAAATAAATACTAGGCACTTTTTGAGTTAATTTTGTCCTTGTAACTAATTCACCAGCCCTTGTGATTGAAGTGAATATACAGTTTTCCTTGTTGTTTGGGGTTTTAATCTTTATGGTATTGCACTTATTGTAAGTCGCTTTGGACAAAAGCGTCAGCTAAATGATATGTAATGTAATGTCTGACCTGTTCTCAGCTGGCTTCACTTCCTAAACCAGGGGTAGCTGCTTGGTGTATATATTTTATTTCAATCGAAAAGATTGATAGGAATAAAATCCTCTGAGTATAATTAAATTAAAGATAGTTGGTGATGCCTCCCAGGGTGTGGGTTAGAAGGGCATCCAGCAATTTATAAGTAATGACATTCGTGTAAAGGAGTGGATTAAAATCTGAGTTACCATTAGCATTTAGCACTTTTTTGTTGTTAATTGCAGAAAATAAGGTGAAAACCTCCTAATTAAATACAATGTCAGCTCATATTCAACAAACCTTTGTCCATCCCGGAGGCCACAGACACCCTCTTGACCTTCACAGTAATTATTATTCTGCAGGCACAGTGTGTGGAGCTTGAATTGCTGAAAGGCAAACATGCTGTGTTAGTAGCTTCTTTCCTTCTCTCGGGACTTTAACATGGCTTTTAATTACTGCCATCTTTTGGCTGTCTGCACAGAAAATAATCATGTCAAAAACATTGGAGGACGTCTGTTCTGCGCTTCAAAGTGAGCTCAGTTTGTTTGATAGTCTGGCTCTGTATAACACGGCACAATCCAAAAAACTATTCTTTATTGTGAATAAACCAAGCCATATACAGTAAAGACGGAGTAACGTTTTTTTGTGGTTGTTACTGACAAAAAACTTCTTCAGGGACCTGGTTGGTATTCTGTGTGGATTCCTCAAAACACAAGTCACTCAGGAGTCAAGAACAACAAAGGCAAAATGACAAAGACAGAACCAATCCTCTGAGGATCATTGGGGACTAACGGAACAACGTTTCAAAGAATTACAAGTATACAGCCAAGATGTCGTTCTCCATAGCATCTAGTGGGACCTGGACCAAAATAGCGGAACAGTGCCTCACTCCCCAAAAATGAGGCCAGCAAACTAGGAAACATTGGACAACAGCCACATAGTGTGAGCAACCACTTTAGTATTAAATTACATCACTTTGAAAATAACTGTACAAACTTACAAACAATTTTTTCAATTGTGTCTTAACAGTAAGTGTCCATATTGAAATTGAATAGAGTTTTTTTGGAATCACTCCTCATCAATACTGAATATTTAGCGACCCCTTGAAAATGTGGTTTCAGTGTTAGTGATGGAAAACTACAGTGCAGAAATATGTTCCCAAGTTTATCTGAAGCCAATATGATTCTGTTTGAAATACTCCTGGAAGATATCCTGTTCACTTGTCTGTGTGAAATCCACCTTTATCTTACACTCACTCCAATGCAGCGAGGGAAACGAAGGGAATGTTACTACCTGAAGATACTTAAACGGTCCTACGTTTGTTTCCGTGATAATCTTTTTTTAATATATCAACCCAGTCTCCAGCTCATTTACTTGATCAAACAGACCCATAATATATTTTATTTTTAGAGTTCAAAACCTTGCTGCAGGTTATTTTTGGTGACTCTGACAGAAAATACATAAGCCCCAGAGTAAACACAAGTGTGATGTGAGAGCCAGACTGTGGTGGAGGCCTGAATCTGCCACTGTGATGAAGAGCCTGTGTTTCTGCTCCGCCTGCCACAGTGATACCTTGACTCCGCATTTGGGGACATATTCCTGGGCTGCAAACAAAGCTAACTCTGCTTCAGTTTGCAGGTTGTATGTTCACACAGAGGGACACAGAGAAGGTCATGCCTCTTACACTGTTAACCTATTGCCCAATGAATTTAACAAAAGAAGGAATGTCTCATTCTTTCAGCCGACTCTGTTCAAACTCTGCCCGACCCCAGTGCCTTCGTTTTTCTTCTTCTAGTTCACGGATAGTCCAGCTGTAGTCCAGTCTCCACTTCAGGCTATTGTTCTTATGAGCTAAAGAAGAAATCATTTGATCTACTGCGTGCCACCATGTTCTCAGAGACAACCTTATGATGGCCGCACCAGTTTTCCGCAGGATCATTTGAGCTTTATTATTTGTTGAGGCTAAATGAGTCCTGTTAACTACAGCAGTATGACCCCAAATAGATTTGGCTGTGATTTAATTGCAATAAACGTATATCAAACAGGTGTCAAAATAACTGCCTAATGGTGATGATTATTAAAGAAATCTGAAAGTTTTCATTTTTTTGTTAAATCTTGGATACATTTTCCTTTGAATAAACATTATACTAATGATCAAATCCCAGAAAAGGGCACTTCCTTATGAACATGTGGTATTCATTAAAGGTCCCCTATTATACTGTTTTTCATCAAATATTATAGGTCTCAGATATATACAGAGCCTGTCTCTGATTGGCTGAAACACCAAACAGATCATTGCAGCATCCCATAATCCCCTCTGTTTCAGCCCTGTTTCCAAAGTGCTGATTCTCTGTCTGTTACTTTAGATGAAAATAAGGAGCCCCTCCCCACGCCCCTCTGAGAGAGATTTGGTTAAAAAGAACTCAGTGCTCTAGGAGGAGATTCAGGTGATAGGGGGGGGGGGGGGGGGGGGGGTTACCTTGGTTGGTGATTGGCTAATGGTTACACAAGACAAAACATCGTTATGACATCATCAAGTGGCCAAAATCTGATCAGCTCATTTTCAGACAGGTTTTTATATAAATGGATCAGGACAAAAAGAGAGAGAATCTTTGTTCCTGAAACTTCCTGAGTCTCTTTACACAGAGGGGACACATGTTGCTTTAGAAAAGACATGAAAAAGTGGATTTTGCATAATAGGTCCCCTTTAAGGTGAAAAGAGAAATGTATTACAAGCTTGTCTTGCAAAGAGAGTTTGTAAAATATCACTCGACACAAACTAACCTCACAATAGGAACTGTTTACGATACAACAAGGTTTACAAGGCCTGATGGGTGCTCAGATTAAAAGGGGAACCTCATTGATTTCATATCGCAGAAAAAAGGGGCTCACTGGCATTTCTCATAATGCACCATCAGGTTGGACTGGGTACATCTCCTCCAGAACTTCATAAAATAATACACTGCCAACATAATATAAACAAGGTCTTTGGTAAATCCATCAGAGGCATTCTGATTGGTGATTCATTAATGAACACCTCGCTGCACATTATCACTTACCTTTGTCATTGATAGGATAACAACACAATACTGGCTTCACGATTTTCTTCTTGACATGTGATTATTAATAAGGTGTTAAGCAGATAGATAGTGACAATATTCATATGTTAAACAGTATGTTACCTATTTTGTATACTCTATAATAAAAATGAAGAACAATATGTTTTTAAAACTTTATTGTATAGAAGTAACCTATTTCAATAGAACACGGTAATGGTAAAGGGTGACTTTTTTCTTAAGGCCTGCTGGTGCAGTCACTGGGAGGCAGAACTACTGCTGCCTATAAGCAGAGAATATACAAATAAAGTCCTCTATACCTCCGAACAATGGATGCACTATGAGGTTCAGCAGAAATACCATTTGAGTTCTATGGCAGGACAACAATCTTCTTCTCCAGCTTCTGCTCAGGGAAGATGAACCTCCTCATCACGTCATCGAGCTCCTCCAGAGCCAGCTGAGCGTGGAGCACCGCAACGTCATCCGGGTCGGAGCGCACCACCCACTTCAGAGCCCGGTACAGGTCCAACAGAACATCACTGAGAACCTATAGCAGTCAGAGAGAGGGACAGAGGTTCACGGCTCTGCTCATTACACAGGGAACAGGGTTACCACAGACACTTTGTTGTTACCGTTTCATTTGTATTCTTATCAAAGTAAGTGTGGACACTAACTTGGTGTATATCATTAGAATTAATCAGCAAAAACTTCTACAAAAAGACCCAAGTTGTATGTAACCACATAACTGTTAAAAGTTTGTTGAGTACAAAGCAAGAAAAAGGAAACTTGGAAATTAACTGTCAAGGTGTAAAAACAACAAAAACGTCATAAAGCACAGATAAATCTGCAGCTTGGCAAAGAGAAATTGCATTGAACATCCAACTGTTATTTAACTCATTCAAGGCTTTTGTTGCCATATTTAAACTGAAAGAGTAAATACATGAAGACTTTTCCCTTAAATCCTTAAAAGGAAAAAGAGAAAAGGAATGAATAACTGATGGTGATTGAGGCTGTGTTCAAATGTTCATGCTGTGTGTGTGTGTGTGTGTGGCGAAACGATGCGAGCGGCATAGCATTGTAATACACACTTATATTTAACTTGACAGAAAAAAAAAATGAATCGGACACTATTCTGTTCAAATGGTTGATTTTCATCAAGCAGCAAAATACCTAGCTCCCCAGGTATAATGTCTCATAATGGGTCATAAACTACAACTCAGACAGAGCAAGACACTCAAATATGTCACCTCTAAAATAGTAATACACATTTGATCAGTTATTAATCCAGAGAATAGCAATAACAGATCAATGGCCAAGTAAACAATGCTTTATTTTCTTCCAATTAAAGAAACCTTTTATTAGATCCTATCCACTTTTCTTTTGTTCAGTGGTGGACTCACAGTGCATATTCCGATTGCTTACAGGATCAAGAGAGAGTCAGAGGAGCATGTTAACGGTGTGTTATCTTACTGATATCACCATTTCCAATGTTTCAGGTCAAACACACGGCCACTTGATGTGAGGCAGATACACAATGTATACGTCACAGAGGTTCACACTACAATTTGCAACATCAGAAATGCATGTAGAAAACCAGACAACAGTCATTTTGGGCATTCTTTCACAGAAGATCTGTTTTGACAGAGTGGAGGGAGGTTTGGAGGGAAAATGCGTCAGTAACAGTGAGAGGTGAGATGCAGAACTGCAGAAGACAGCCCCCCCCCCCAGCACCACACCTGGCCCCCTCCTCTCTCACATGGTGCTGCTCTGGCCCTCTCATCTGTTCTCATGTCACTGTGTGTGTCATTAGCCCTCAACAGCTGCTGCTGCTCTGTAATGACAGGACCTGACCTGGGACCAGCAGCTGCACAGAGCATCAGGAGTCACGTCACATTGGAGCCAGGGGCCAGCAGCTCACACACAGCAGTGTTCACTGAGCCCCCACAGGAGGAAGATTTTCCTTTTCTTTCTTCCGTATGTAACCCAAGTGGTCCAAGGATGAGAGACAGCGTGTTTTGTTCCCAGCTGAATTAACAACAAGCTGATTAATAGAGCAATACATATTTTAATCTATAGCAAGGATGTGACGACAATGAAAGGATAATGCTAATTTTAATGAATCTTATATCACTAGTTCACACAATAAAAAGAGCCAATATCACAATGAATAGTACCTTATATATATATATATATATATATATATATATATATATATATATATATATATATATATATATATATATATATATATATATATATATATATAGCTATAAATACATAAACTGGCAGAGGTGCTACCATGTCTAACCTTCAGACTTGCACAGTAATCAGTGAATTCAGAAAGCCTGGCTTGCTGCGTCTATTTCAGGAGGCCGAGGAACTGATGTGATCAGCCCGAGCCGAGGCGACTATCTAAGAACAACACTTCAGCAGAGACAGGAAACACACTGCACCATGAGAGGAACCACAGGCCATTTCTCAATGTCGAGTAAACCTGCTGCAGAGCCACTATTTCAAGTATACTACGTCATCGAGTGGCGCCGAAGGACTGTTTAAATGCATGTTAAATGCCCAGCATTCAGCGCCACTCGATGACGTAGTATACTTGAAATAGTGGCTCTGCAGCAGGTGTACTCGACATTGAGAAACGGCCAGAGACTGTGAAACACGGTGTTTCGAGTGAGTCTCCTTCCTGTGCTCAGTGAGAACATTAGTGTGTGACCCACAGGTAGACTGGGACTCTGAAACACACAGAGAGGACCCCTGCCTCCAGCAGTCCACACACAGACATGTCTACGCTTACTGCTGTCAATCAATTCAATCATTACATTTCTTTAATCACAATAATAAAATACATTTGATACCGCCCTCATAATTAATTTTTTTTTTGTGAAGGAACTGACCTTTGGCCCTAATAAAAAGGCTAACAGTAATGTTAGCTGAACTTTGGGGACTGAAGAGACACCTTCCCTTTTATTCCTTTTTGTCAAATATAATGTCAAAAACTAAGAAATGCATTTGTTAAGATTTTACAGGATTTATGAGCATTTCATTTTTCTGTTTATGTAAATGTAACAGGTCTTTCTTGACCTAAAGCTCAAGTGCAGGACATCAAGGTTCTACACAAAAGACAGAAATGACTTGTTCACAGTGTATCTTTATAGTCGGGCTGGCCAAGTTAACACTGACAATTATTTTATCGCGCATTAACAGTTTTTTTTAATTCATATTATTATTTAGAAAGTTCCGTGGCTCACTGGCTCTGGATACACATACAGACAGACCATGGGTCACAGGAGGGGCGGGATGTCGATCAGTATTGGCTTAGGATGGGCGTCATCTCAACCAATGAGAGCATAGGGGGCGGGCCTAAGACTGCACATGAACGGAAACAGAAAGAAGTGGCGGGACAGAAACATGAGCCGCGTTCACACCAAGTACTTTGCCGTACTTAGTGCCGGCACTTAGTTCCCCGGCACTTATTACCCCAGGGCACTAAGTACAGATCGCGTTCACACCGGAATAAGTTCCCTGAGGGAAGATTACGCAAATGAGCCGCTGACGTCACTCCGTCTTCTTCTGCTTTGGGTTTACTGGCAGGCCGCAAACCACTTCACGGTGTATACTGCCACCCGGAGTCCCCGGCCGGAAGTCCCCGGAGTTGGGGACTTCCGAGTAAATCGCCAGAACGCCGACACCTCCTCATCTCCACCGCTCCCATGTTTTATTTTGTGTTGCCATAAGTTAGTCTCTCTGCGTTTGTGCGCTGGGCGAATGCTAATGCTAATAATGCTAATGCGAGGATAATAAAATGGCGGAGTTTTACGGGGCGTGGTTTGCAATTCGCCCAGCCAATCAGAACTGGGGCACTTTTTTCCCCCAGGAAAGTACCATCTCTCAGCAGGCACTAAAAATGGGGGTAAAAGTTCCCGGCACTCAGTACTCTTTTTGGTATGAACGCGACATGAGGGGTACTAACGGAACTAAACGCGAAAAGTACGGGGAAAAGTACTCCGGTGTGAACGCGGCTATGGAGGAAGGTACCGAACTCTTACATCTCTTCAGACAGAGGAGTTGATAGAACCAGGGTTATTTGTAACCACTGCAAAGTTACATTTTCTTATCTCTGGACTCTGAGGGGAACTTCTATAACAAACTAGATACAACGTGAATGCCCTGACAGTGGCAATAGCTGTCAGGGAATAATTCTGTATACATGTTTACCTTTTGCCCTCTGACACAGATGCCCAACCTTGAGCAGCCGCTATCTCCCTTAAGGAGGGGCTGCCCTAGCATTTTGTTGTTGTTACCAGTTTGTGACCGGGCAACTCTCTGTCAGATAGTTATTGTTGTGGGACACCTGGAACACATCCTTCTCGGGGTGTAATGACCCCGAGCCATAAGCGACAACAAATGTGGTTCAGTGTCCTCAGCTGTTTAGTCTATCTATTGAAGAATGTTGATTATTACACTCTGAACTAGTTCAAACCTGGAGCTACAGGAGGGGTCTTCAGAATTGATTGTGGCATCTCAATCGTGTGGTCAAACCGTGGCCCGTGACATGTCTTGTCAATTCTCCGGCCGAAGCTCCAAATAAACCGTCAGTGTTTGCCATCAAAGCTCCAGCTCTCCTCGTGTGTCTCTGAGTCCTGACTGTCCATTGCTACAGAAGTTTCCCCCACAATAGCTTTATAATTTGTATTTGATTACATTAACTCATGTTTAAGTTGAGATTTACAATACATATTTTAACTGCTACTTTGTAAATGCAATACTACTGTTAAAAAGCACCTTATTTGTTTAAAGTGTTTGCAAACCAAATGTTATTGCCAGTGGTGGCTGGTGCATCTTTCTCCAGGGGGAGCTCTACCAAAATGTAAGCAAACGTATACACAAAGTAAAAACATATGTCATATTACAACGCAGGGCTAGCTCAAAGGCACCACAGAACTAGATACAGTCTATTATTTTAGAAAGGACGTGCCTGTTTTTGTCAATCTCCTTATTATGCTTACATATCCTTATCCTGTAGCCTTCATTACGTTTGACAGCTGTGTTTACTTTCCCAAACATGGCTAGTCGCATAGCATTTTCCATGTGGACTCTAGTTTGTTCATGCTTTTTAGAGTTTTCTGATACTATATAGACAAAAGTATTGGGCCACCTGGGGCACAGTCATGCTTCCCCAAACTGTTTCCACAAAGTTGGAAGCATAGAATTGTCCAAAATGACTTGGTAAGATGAAGCATTAAAGGGCCCATGTCATGGCCATTTCCACTGATCATAATTACATTGTTGAGGTATACTAAAATAGATTTATACTGTGCAATTTTCCAAACTCACATTGGTTTCGCATACAGCATCTCTGTCAAGCATGTGTATTCAGCAGTATTCACTTTCTCCACTAAACGACTCGTTGGAGCTCTTGCCCCCCCCTCCCTGTGAGCCTAGTGTGCTCCGATTGGTCAGCTCGGCCACTCGTTCTGATTAGTCAACCACCAGAGAGGCTGCGCCCATGTCAGTGCTTTTCCCGGCTGCTCTCAGCGT